TATTGTGGCGTCTGTGAAATAAATAATCGGAACAGCATTATTTTATTTTACAGTAATGTATGAATATAAGAATATATTTGTATTTTTATATACCTACTGTGGGCATAATCCTTATAAACGCCAATAAAATAAATCACTGTTACTATCGATCATTTTGTTCGAATATTTCGTTTCCAACAAAACTAGCTTTGATTAAAGGTAACCCTAACAAAGGTATTATACATCTATTTTAACAAGAATTGCGCTGACTCAACCAATGCTGTTCTTCCCTGGGACGGTGCTTAAAAACACAAGCGTTGAAAACATTTGAAGTTTATATTTTAAAGTACAGTCATTTTCAGTAAACGACTTAAGTCCGAAGCTATCATTTCGGCATCGCTAGCATTTCGTGTCTAAATTAAATAGTTGTCTACTGGAAACTTTTGCTGTAACTCTCACTATACAAAGACCCGTCATTCCCACGTAACCCTAAATATTGATCATACCAGTACTTTAATGTTAAAACAAATGCAAAATGCAACACACAATCTTTGAGGCATTTATGACACGTTGTACTTCCTTAATACACTTTTAAATACAGGCCTAAAACTAAAAACAACAAAGAAAAAAAGGAAAGAAACTATCGTTATTCAAAATATAGCCTACGTCAACAATTCAATGACGACAGAAAACATGATTATTATTAAAATGAAGTACTTTAAAAGTTTGTTTAGAAAGCGACAAGTAATAAAAGAAGGTGATTTTGTTGAGCAGCACCGTCATAAACAACAATCATAATAGCATATTGTCATCGTTCGCTCTTGGAGAGCCTTAAGGAATACGTAAACGAGAATATTCAAATGTTGTCTACAAGTACTTACACCATAGCAGGACAATTTCATTGCTAATCTACTGTTCAATATTGTGAACGAAAAGTAGAAGATTTTTTGATGGTAAAAAATCCCCTAATCAGGATTTGAACTCGGAATCTTCAGCTGTCCACCCTAACCAATTTTGATATTAGCGGAAAGAAATAGGAACTGTTCATTGTAAATATAACATAATAAGTCATATTTATATTACCTGGGCCATAAATGCACACGGGACCAACGGCTTAAACGTCTCATCCGAAAGACGGTGCGCTATGTAACTTGTATTTCAGCCTTCCAGCTGAAACACAAGGAGAGGCAGCGATGGAATTTGAACCGGGGACCTAGAGATCTCCACGGTTCAGCGCACACACAGTTGCTACCACCAGATTAGCCGACTGAGCTAAGCTGCTCTCTCTATCTGATGATGATGATCTGTGTAAATTCTCCTGCCCAACAGTGGTACGAATCTGCAGTTAAAATTTAAAATATAGGTATGCAACTACTGTACTAGCCTAATAATTTGTTTGATTTACTGTACATAATAAGAATGAGAAAGTTTACCTTACCGATTTCAAGAGTTGGAAAACCTTGAATTTTGAAGGATTTTAAAGTCCTTTTAAGGACTTACAAGTCATTAATAGACACGTAGCTCAAAATAGGGAAAGCTCATTTCCTGCCATCTAGGAATAAAAATTTTCTCGGGGGAGGACCACCGACTCCCCCCCCCCCCACCTTTATTTTTTGGGTTCATCGATTCATGAAAAAAAATAATAGGTATGCAACGTATGTATAATACCGGTACACACATGGGCCTTATATTTACTGTAATAAGAATGACAAAAATTTACCTGATCGTTATAAAAACTTCAAAGTCATTAAAAGACTTCAGAAGTGTGGAAAGCTAATTTCCTGCCATCTAGGAATCAAAATTTTCCCGGGAGAGGCGACCCCCATTTTTGGCGGGGGGAGGGGTGGGCACTGGGTTGTTAGGAACATCCTAAATTTCAACCCAGATCTGTCCCGATCCTTCTTCCCTCTTTCTTTTCTTGCATTTCTTTCCGATCATACAAACATATCGGTAGACATTATATATTTTCTGCCAAAAACTGGTGATGGCAAACTCCAATTTACGCAATTACGGAATGGTGATATAGGAATATGAGCGTGTTTACTATAACAACAACGTGGGCTAAATGCAGAGCTAATTGTGCACAAAAAACTGCTAAACGTAAATGAATAAATATTGTGGTTCTTAAGCGCTCATGTCATGCGTATTATCGACACAAAATGATATATTTTCCGGTTGAAAAGGGCCATATGGGGATATGAATGCAGCGGTATGTCATTTTTTTCAGTCTATTAATTTAGTACACTGAAATTATACATCAATTACCTTGTCTACTGCCACTTATGTTTGCCGCACCTATAATTTTATAGTAATGAGAACCGTCCAAACAAAATACTCTTGTCTGTGTTGTTCAGTCATACCGGCAAGCAGTCATTGTCATACAAGAAGCGTCAGCAACCGTCAACAAGGGGAAACTCAACAACCAACTCTAAGTGTAGGTGGTCAAAATGACTTATAATTAAAAGGGAGTTATGGGTTAGTTGCTTAAAGTAGAATGCCAATAATTTATAACATAATAGAGTGTTCATTTTTGTAAAAACATTTGCATTAATTTTTATACAATATACAGGCCTAAAATATTCAATTTTTTTTTATTTGCCAGAAAATATAATCTGCCAAATGTCACATTCCTACGAACCCTGGTCTTCAGCGTCTCCCAGATCTTACAATTTAATTTTGCATTGTAATACTTCATGATGTAGTATACTCATTAATAATATTATACTATTATGTAAGACTAATTCAATCGTATTGTGACTTGTGTACACAGATAGAAAATGAAGCATACGCGTTGCATCACAAAATACCTCATGAAAGAAGTCAATGTTTACGCTTTCAACAAGCATAATTATAAAGATAGTGATTACTGATAATTTGAAATTATTAAATGTGTAAGACCAGTATTCAAATAGAACCACGAACCCTCATTGAAATAAAATAAGGTCAAGGGGATTATTATTATTATTATTATTATTATTATTATTATTATTATTATTATTATTATTATTATTATGATGATGATGATGATGATGATGATGATGATGATGATGATGATGATGATGATTTTTTTAGAACCACTTTAAGGGGAACTTAGACAATGGAGAATTTGAGAACAATAAAAAAAATGACGTTAAGGGGAAAATAACACAAGAGATATTCCCCTTAAGTGAATTATTATTATTAGTTCAGCACCACAAACAGTATGTATAAGTTCTACTGTTTTCTCTACTCTCTCCGTTCCACGCGCCTCAGGATATTGGTTAAGTAACAATTATTGTTGTGTCTTCTTAATAATGTGACCATTATAAGAATAATAATAATAATAATAATAATAATAATAATAATTATTATTATTATTACTATTATTATTATTATTATTATTATTTCTAAACACCATTTTATCCTTGCAAACAACTAATGTGTTTCATGAAACAAGAAATTTTCGGCGGGGGAGGAAAGTTCCTAAATTCTATTGCGAGCGAAATGTGCAAGTGGAGTTTCCAGCTCTCAGTTTATCCTAACACTGAGATGTGCTTGTATACTGCACCCTGTAAAGAGTGTTTTCCGAAAAGAACAAAAAAAACGGTATTGCTAAATGTGTTATTTTGTTATAACACAGTGGTTCCCAACGTTTATGCATTTACAGACCCCTCGGGACATGTCAAAAGTCTTCACGGACCCCCATGTCTAAGTATCTCCATTATTCGCCACAACAGTACAACATTAAAAAGTAACGGATCCTGGAAATTGAAATAGTAACCATAACAGCCAGCCAACATGGTTGGCGCTGATGTATGAAATTTTGTATGTCTATGGCACTTCTAGATTGCCGGAATTTGTACCGTCGTATCTCTTATTTATTTTAAATTTTGTAAAATTTAAGACGACTCATGATATAAGATTATAGAGAGAATAATTCGCAACAAAAGTACATTTGAACAATACAGGATACTGGAATTCAATATAGAAAGCCAGTTTTACAGATAGGGGGGTCGGTGTACCACCTCAACTCCATCATGGTCGAGGGCTGTGGTGCAACATTTATGGGTTTATGACACTTCCAGATTGCCGGAAATAGCACTGTCAGACACGATAAAATTTTAATGTAATTTTCTTTTAGGGTACCATTTATTTTTTTATTTTGTAGAATTTAGGGTCGGACACTCTTGATTATTTGTTTTATTTATACAATATCCAGGTAAAATTAATACAAGGCAAAACATACCAACATGATATTCATTACCGTATCTATATACACATATTAAACATCTTTACATAAAGCATACATACTTCAGATATAATCGATTGTAACAGATCAGAAATTGAATTTGACAGTTAAAAGAATTTACCGTGAACGAAGTTTTAACGGACCCCAGCACTTACGCGGACTCCCTGAATTGTTCGTGAACCCCTGCGGACCAATTAGACTTGGCAGACCCCAATGATTTTCCGCGAACCCCACTGATATAACACACATACATACACACACCCACACACACCCCACCCCCACACACACACACGCATATATATATATATATATATATATAAATATATATATATATAATATGTATATATATATAATATATATAGGACTCTAAAATCGATAGCACTTTAAAGTAATTTAAAAAAAATTGTATAAAAAAAAAAAAAGACATCTGAAACCATGATGAGTTTGCAATAAACTATAAGGCATTGTCAACTCTTGGCCAATGAAATTCCTACACACCAAGGAAAAAACACATGTGGGAAAGAAAGAGGTAACACAAACATCCGCTTTGTTCATGTACTTTAACCCATTGTCTAAATTATTGAAAGAATTTCAAGCATAATTTAACCAAAAAATATTGACATAGATCTGTTTACTGTGAACCCGTAATGCACAACATACCTCCTCCACTGGGCTGTTCAAATCTATTGAAGGTAAAACCTTTACTAAAAATATATATGTACTGATGAAAGGTATCGTGAAACATACCTATGCATAAAATCGGCTCTCCCCATGTCACTATATAAAGGAATACGTTTTCCAGCAAAGGAACCACCTTCAATCTTAACTTTCGAAGAGAAAAAACATTCGCTGAACCAAAACGAAGATGAACCGTGTAGCAGTAACAATTCTTGCTCTTGGCCTCATTGCTTCCTTTATTGAAGCCAAGCCAAATTTTCTCTTCAAGAAGGTATGTTTTAAGAATCTTATATAAACAGATTTCTTTTATTTTATTAAATATTGTATTGTTGACTAAATTTTTAGTAGCCTAGCTAGGCCAACTCTAATTCCATTTAAGTTAAGTATTTAATGCGGCTACACGCTACGTAAGTAATGACAAGCGTGATCTAGTATTAAACATATGTGATGATTAAGTCTTCTAATACGTTAGTGCTTTCCTAATGAAAAAATTCAAGTAACCTCAATGTGCAATGTGTGTGTGTGTGTGTGTGTGTGTGTAATGTCTGCAGATTGGAATATTTACGGTACATTGTTTTGTAGAGCACTCTTATTTTAAGATGGTGCATTTATGTAATACTATTTTGCAATTTTTTGGATACTCAATTCCATAGAAAGGTTGATTTTATGTCACATCGCGCAATGGATAGCTACAAAGAAAGTTTAAGTAAGTAAAAGTAGGCATAAATAATTAGGCTTCTAAATAATAGATACCTTTCTTTGTTGCAAGATGCCCTGTAAGAGCTTTTAAGGGCGTACCATTTCAAAAAATCTTCCTATTTTGGGACCTCGGCTGGTCGTCCATCTTTAGTTTGGCGCCCCCCCCCCCTCTTTGCTAAATCCTGGATGATCCGCTCCTGGATTTAGCGATGACTGTTGACAGGCGGTCACGTGACCGAACTTGGGTATACTGTCCGTATACATGAAAAACATTACAATGCGATAGCATAGGAAAAGGTAATATTATAATTGCGAAAACTACCACCCACTGTTAACGTGAGAAGTAAATGGCTGGGACAGGCAATACGATTGTTCAAAATAGTGCTTATTCACTTATCCTAGCGTTCTCCTTGGATTGTGGCCTATGCTTCGAAATTTAAGTGATTCTTCATAAACCTTAGCTGGCCCTAACATCGCAGCGTAGTTTGTGGGTCGAGGCCAGTGGCGGACCGTAGGGTAAATTGCAGGGTATGCTAGGTATTGGCATATTTAGGATGTACAAGGGGCCGCACGTCCTCCCCCTACCCCTGAAAAAATACTCGCCCATCCCCCAGTCGCGCCCCCGCCCACAAATCATGCTCAAGTAATTAAAAATTACCTCATATCAACTTATTTTGCGAGTTATCCCCATAATCACCGATCCTCCACTTTACCTTCCTAACACCATTAGCTCCCTTCTATTTCAAGACCCGCCAGTGACGCTAGGGCCTGCTAGTAATAGGAAAGTTCGTAAGCCTATATAGAATCAGATTTCATCAAAATAAAATGCATGTTATTTTTAATACCGGCATGGTAGTATTTTGTTCAAAAGAATTCCTATTCCTGTATTTTAACAGATTTCAATTCAAATAATAATAATTTAAAGTTTCTTCTATACCGGTCATATGTATGTAAATATATTTTAACTTTAATCGATTCAGATTAGGCTTATAGATAGAATACCCAATCGGCAGTGGAGGTGCCGATTTGTGAGAAGAGCATGCGCACATACTCTTGGAAGCACTGCTTCCATTCCGGTGTTAAAATTGGCTAATCTGACGCGACGCCACCACAGGGCTGTCACAATAGCCAATTTAAGCGTTGTAGATGCCCTGACTTCCATTGACTCACTGAAGTGATTGGCTGATATCATCGAAGAGCAGCCATGCAGAAATTCTAAGTAGGATGTTATGGGCCCGACACTGTGACTTATCCTACTAGGTACTGTACCAAAGTAGGCCAAACATTGAAAAACTTTGCTATTCCAATGAATAGCATTCCACTCGAAAAATTAGGGTATATATAGAAGATCCTGAATGAGAAATGCTAAATAAAAAGGAGAAACTGTACTACTATATTTTTTAAAATTTGTTTTAGCCAGGGTATGTACACCTTGCTTGCCTTGACTTTCCGCCACTGGTCGTAGCCCCCTTCATGCATACCTAACCATGCCGTAGATGTGTCGGGACCTGGGCCTAACATTTGTCGAAAAATCTCAATGTTTGCGGCCAGTATCCTTTACAGCATTAGCAAAACATTAAGGCAAAATTCTTAAGTTTAATTTCAATGAATTTAGTACAGTTTACTGGGAATTATGATAAGATATACAGCAATAAACAAGGGACGGCCGGGATAGAAATCTCCATGTAAAACACTGCTGTGCCTTGTGGCTTGTTTATATCCAACGCCCAAGTTAGGTCACGTGACGCCCATCGTTAAATCCTTCTATTAATTGCCTCACCAAAAATGTCATTTTATCTCATATATTGTAATATTTATGATAAACAATATGTCGGAGAAACAAAAAACACTCTTTGTATGAGAGAGTGACACAACATAGATCAGCTATCATAACATCTAAGCTTGATCAACCAGTAGCCCGGAACAACATTTCAATTCAGCTGGTCATTTATCTCAATTTCAGAGTGATTGCAATAGTCTAAGAACATAATGCTATTTGGAGCGAAAAAACGTACAGATAAAAAGAATCACTGGGAACATTTACTTAAAGCTACCACACCTTTTGGATTCAATATTTCGAACGTTCTCTACACTAAATTAATCTGGTAAAGTAAAGATCTTCCTGAAACCCATTGCCTATCCCATTCTTTTCTAAATGATGTTGCTGAAACATTTCACATTTTGGGTACATGTTTATAAGTGTACTGTAATATTAGAAAAGACGGTTTTACAGTAGTTTTTAATGCTGTTACTGATCCTACACCTAGAGCACATCAGGTTGTTGACACTGTTTACTGCAAGTATATGGAGCACTGATTTCCTTCGCCCCTTTTCCCCTGTTTTTAAAATATTCAAAAATCTGTATCTCATTCACCGTTCCCCAGTTTTTCGTCAAACAACTTTTTCCTGTCTTAGAAAAATCAGTTTTACAACGTATCAACATATTTCCTCTGCAGCCTGACTTTAAACTATTAAAATAAATCTTTGGTGTTGATTTGTATATAACACATGAGATAATTAATTATATGCAATTTTAGTGTATTTTAAAACATTAAAATTTCCTAAATTTCAATTTGCCATAACAATTCAAAAAAGTATACTAGATAAAAAATAAAAGTGGTTTCCGAAAGCTTATCTTATTTTACAGGAAAATATCATTTGCAAACTTCCAATTAACTTTAAAATTTATGAAAATGCACCATTAACATGGAATTAGCCGTAGGCCTATATATATTAGATTTGCTGGGCATCACCGTAAATACAATATAACCGAATATGTAAATAATATAATAACAGAGCTCTCAGATAAGAACATAAGATGTTATATTTGTAGGGCTATCGAGCCTTTTTTGTAGTTGTATTTTTTTTTTATAGACACTCTCTTACATCCAAATTACACTCTCATTAGGATACAGTCATACTGTAAAACCTTGAATAGAAGCCCAATGGGATTAGTCTCGAGAAGTCCACTTTGAAAAGAATCCCCCTCCCATTAACTCCTTAGTTTGCATACGTAATGTCGAAAAGAATTCTATCTCAAAAATGAAAGAAAATAGCACGGACTACTTTTGGAGTTCGTACTTACATTTAGACTGACGTTATCTTTGATGATTATGATAGCTTGTCAGTATAAATCTAATTGTCCTAGTATGATTAAGTCGATAAAGATAATTTAGATTTCCATAATTGAAAAATGTAGTATAATAGCAATTCAAAATATTTACAGCGTGCATTTCGAAAAGAAGCCTCTCTCTTCAGTTTGCAAAAGTAATCTCGAAAGTCTATCTAAAAAAGAAGTCCATCTAGAGTTCTGAAAAGCCCAAGGCTTCTATAAAAAGTTTTATGGTATTAATTATTGTAATATGACTGATGCCGCCTCACATATAGTGGAGCTATGGTTAAGCTAAAATAGATGATTGGTCCATCTGTTCTATTTTCTCTATGATTGGTCGTAAAATTGAGGCTACTGAATTGAGATAATACCTCCATGGTCGTAAGGAAATCATAATAAATAATATTTAAATTACGTTTTCTGCGTATCGCCTTTAAACACTGTATTGACAAAATTTAAGAATTGCAGTAAAAATATATTTTTAAATGTTAACATTTATTGAATACACCCTTCGAATAGAATGATGGGGATGCTTAGACATTTTTAAAGTTCATTAGGACTTATATTATATATTTCTTATGAGGTATAAATAAAGCATCACCTAATAGAGCAGCTTAGCTCAGTCGGCTTATCTGGTGGTAGCCACTGTGTGTGCGTTGAACCGTGAAGATCTCTAGGTCCCTGGTTTAATTCCAATCGCTGCCTCTCCTTGTGTTTCAGCTGGAGGGCTGAAATACAATAGCGCACCGTTTTTTCGGTGGAAGCGTTTAAACCGTTGGTCCCGTGTGCATTATGGCCCATGTGCACGTTAAAGAACGCAGTACACTCTTCGGAAAAGAGTAGGGGATTTTCTCCCGGTGTACTGCCCAATCACCACCAGAAGGACCCCACTGGAAATAATTCTTCTTCTAGACTTTCGTCGGCTATCCTTGGTGTTTACACCCAATAAATTCAATCCAATCCAATGATGGAAGGATATACAGTATGTCAGCCAATACACGAGTTGGACCCTCAAGTTTACTAATGTGAATGGCAGTCAACAACAACAATGATGGGCATGGTGACTAGTAGACATATTTCAAACCTAATAACACTCAGTCCAGCTATAGAAGCTTCGGCCTGGTGTTGTAACATAGATGTGTATGACGCATGCAATCAGGAGGTTATTTAGGATGAGTTAAATTTACATAAACTTAATAAATAATAACATTATTTATAAACTTCTTTGACTTTAGGAAGTTGGCGAAGGCAGTCCAGAAGAAGTAATTGATGACCACCCACCTGAACAAGGTAGATGAATCTTTAATTTGAAAAAAAAAATTAAGGGCTCAATCTCGAATGTTTACGACACCCATAGATGAATAACGTACAATACACGTGCCTCAATTTCTATTCATAAACTGGCACTGAGCCAAACCATGAAGAGGCCTAAATAATTCAAAGGAGTGTTGTAATAGCATATCATTGCACTAAGTGTTTTTGACATTATCATCAGGGGTGGCGCCAGGATTTGCCTTACTCCGACGTGGGGGTGCCAATGTCCCCGACGAGTCAGAGCGCCGATGTCCCCAACGATAGGCAAGTGGGCGTGGTCGGTCTTACCTCAAAATCATTCGAATGTGGTCCAAACCCCGAAAAATAATTTAGGTATTTCAAAGGCTTATTTAATCTTTCTTCTCATAGTCACCATGTCTAGGGCATTTATTAAAATACACAGGCCAACGGCCCGGAATATAAGAGAAAACAAACTCAGATGCAATATTAATTTAACATAATTATTTCTTTTGTTAAAAGCCAGATAAATATATTTTGAAATGTTTTCTATTGCATATCTATTATTTAATCCATTTTATAATCTACTAATATGTAGAAAGTACATATAAATTCCCCCTCACCGCCCCCACTGCCACCACTTCAGATTAGAATGCTAGAAGTCCATCTCTCTATTCCTTGAGCAAGTATTATTTAGTTGCAATGTTGCAATGTTTGCATAAATTAATCTACCGTACGTTATCTTCCTTGCCAATGGAACATTGGACGGTTGACTTAAGTCCTCTTTTAGCTGATGATCTAGCTTACGTAGTGTGGTAGAAGGATTCGTAGGTATGATGGATACCTGTCATAGGCCGCGTCGTGAGCGATCCTTCTGTGGACGGACAGGGGACTAGAGATGGACCAGTCCACCGGGGTAACCCCCTACTCTTCTCGAATGATGTGCTGGGTTCTTTAAAGTGCACACAAGCCAATTGTGTACACTGGGCCTACGGTTTAGAGTCCTTATCCGAGAAGACGTGTTCCACCACCGGAACCATAGGCGAGCGTGCTGTTTGAACCAGCGCCGATATTATGGCTGTATGTCACGTTTCCCCTGTCTTAACCGCTCGGCCAATCTAACCAAGGGTTAGAGGTTTATTACTCCCTTAATGGAGAGCAGACAGGTTATTTTTACATTTTTATTACATATATTTTCTTGGTTTCATCATGCGTTATTATAGTTTTTCATTATGGGTTGCAATGTTTTCTTCATTTATTTATAATAATTTCTCCTCTTGATTTTATAATGAGAAAAAATAATAGTCAACGTCGATTTCATCATGAATTATAACATAATGCTGCGATACTCTAATGTTCAAAGCACACTTTCACACATTATTGTTCAATTTACTTCTGTAATGCTGTGGTAGACCAATTTACCAGAATTTTACATAAGTATGACTACAACAATTACGGTAATTTAATGGAATTAAGAATATTAATGATGGAAATAATGGAAATTGCCTGAATCAACTGTAACGTTTCTCTTGACAAATTACGGCTTATATCTTTCTAATTACAGGATTATTATTGTTTATGTCCATACCATATTTAATCACTGATGCTCCTCTCTCGAGAGGGCGTTAAGTACGGCTGTTGCGCTCTCATTGTGTAATACAATGTAAGAAACGGTTATTTGAATCTGTTCAACCATGAAGCCTCAGTGGTCTACTGGTTATGACGCTCACCTTCACAAAGAGAGGTCACAGGTTCGAAACCCGTCGGCGGAATTTTATTACACAATTTGTTTATTTACAGGACAACATTCGTTGAGTTCTGTACTACAGGATGTACTATCGTGTCCTTTATTCGAACACATTTACCTTCCTTCGATTATTTATATATAATTTAATAGTGTTCACTAGGGCCTACTATCTTGATGGTTATTTTATATTACTATTTATTTCTAGCCGTACTTAACGCCCTCTCGAGGTCGCAGATCCGATGTATAAGAGACAGTATATATATATATATATATAAATTAAACTAATCACGTGCTTGGTTTTTTTTTTTCAGATGTAACAGTTGAAGACTGCTTTCATGGTAACTACCACACTTTTAAAACTTTGTTATTGCATGTCCTATGACTGTCAAATCATGGAACGATTCAACTGTAGTTAGTAAAACCTGAAGACACTTTTAGTTTAATTTCGTAAATGGGCACTAAGCTCAATCTCTGAGTGGCGAAGTATCAAAATGCTTCAGTATTATCCTAGTCTATATTTTGTAGTCCACGCACCCTAACTATTCATCAGGTAAATGAGTCAAAACAATGCTTATAATAAAAGATAAGTTTCTATTCACCTCTTAATTGTTTTCTTTAAGTAAATATAATATTAATATTATTTTATGGAACAGTGAATCATTCCTTACAATAATTTATGAATCCTTACTGTATTTATGATGCACCAGATAATTATACAGTACAGACGTCGGAATGACGATAGCAGGATCTGTTGTTTTCGATACGTTTATGAATCTGTATAATTTTATTTTTTATTTCTTACAGAATATAGAAAAGTACTGGACGGGACTTCTGAATGTGAGTTTACTATTTATTTTAATTTGGGTTCGTAAATACAAATCCGTACCCTTGTACAGTACAGTACATTAAAACATGTATAGCCTAAAATACATAGGCCTACAATACCCCCGAACCCATGGTTCGACCATTTTTTAATTGTGAATCTTTTCTGATAAACTTTATTCCTCCTCCTCCTCCTCCTCATCATCATCATTATCAACAGCAGCATCATCATCATAATCATCATCATCATCACAACCACCGTCACAATTCATTATTATTATATGATTATCATCATTACCAACATCATCATCACCGGTACAATCATCATTACGATAATACGTAGGTTGTATTCTAGCTGTGCTAGTGTGTGTGTGTCTGATCATGGAGGTATTATTGAGAAGGAGATCACTCGGCAACAGATCCCTTTGACGCGACAAACCCTTGTGTTCCCCGCCTTTGGATCGCGCGCGGGCGTATTACCCTATAATTCACATGTTTTCGTTAGCAACAACTTGGCAACGACATGCATTTATACGCTTCCAGCAGAGCAGTTGTGCAATAAAGCGTTTGATTTTAACCCATTACATATCTTTAAACAATGTTCCCCTGATTAGATTTTTTCGGACTTTTGGTATGTTATTATTTGTATATTTCAGGAACGGATTCAGTAAAATATTTATGTTAGAATTACTTCTGTGTTCATTATAATTTTGTCTAAAGATTGATTGGTTCGACTATAAAGCTAAGTCAGCGTAAAACTGAAAAATACTTAGATTTTGGATTGATTTTTCGAATAGTTAACCCTCGTTAACCCTAAAATGACTCAGATTATTATAAAATCCTCAATCATTTATTAATTAATATCTGTTAAAATTAGAATTGGCGAATTTTGGCCAATTTATGGATTTTGAAATTGAAATATACTATACTTTTAAAGGTCATGTAAATGTTCCATTACATTCGAAACTTTATTTGGTGAAAAATATTAATATGTTTGATATTTTATGAGAGATAGATGTATCAGCTTCAAAATGGAAACGATTGCGCAGCCATAGCAATTGACTGTATGTAGTGCGCATCGAGAAAAGAAGGTGCTCCCCATTTCGCCATGTTCAATTTTTTGGTAAACTATGCCTGCTGAAAATTTGATGGCGGGGAACACATGGGACTTCAAAGGCATCGCGCAAATGTTCTTCACGCGCTGCGGCAGCTTTGATTTTGGTTCATTTGCATAGCGCTGCGTGCGCGTAGCTTTTTCGAGTGATCTCCTTCTCAATAATACCTCCATGGTCTGATCTACCCGGTAAACCGGTGCCAGCTACTCTCGTCTGTCCTCAACAGTAGGACTGTACGGAGCAGTACATTGGAGTAACACCCTACTTGTTTTGTTTCAATTGTATTGATGAAAAAAGGTCACCGTCATTTTTCACTTTCGATTGGTGCTATGATGACCGCACACCGCGTAGAGGCTGCATTTTTGGTATCCTCCCAATTGGTCGAAATCCAGTTTGTCGAAACCCGGTTTGCCGAATTTAATCCACTTTGCCGAAGACCCAGTTTGCATAATCCAGTTCACCGAAAACATGAAATCCCATTTGGCCGAAACCCGGTTAGCCGAACCCAGTTTGCCGAATTTGAATTTTGTCGTCACCATCGTACAAAAGCGCAGCACACTAATATTTTGAAATAAAATGTAATAAACAGCAATTATTTAGACGAAATCGAATATCTAGACATAACTCTTTTGAACTAATGTAATAACAGTAATTATTGTAGGCGAAACCGAATGTAAACTCAGACTTAACAACCACAAAAAAATATTTAAGACCATCAAAAGGTCTTCCTGTTGCTCACCACTTTAATTTACTGAGCCATACTATCAGTGATTTAGGCTTTATAATCTTAGGCACCAATTTCAAATCTACTAAGGCTAGAGAACTGAGCGGATACCCTCGGGACATCTTCTAGCCTTAGCAGATCTGAAATTGGTACCTAAGATTTACTAGCCTAAATCACTGATAGTATGGCTCCTTAATTTGAAATAGTGAGCAATAGAGAAGCCCGTTGAAGCCCTCTAAAAATACATGCTTCACTATTCCAGCCTAAAAATACATTCTTCATAATGTTTTGAGGCATCTACTGATTGATGACCACCTGATGAAGGGCGATGCCCGAAAACGTTTTTATTATTAAAAGTTACGGCTACTCTACACTTTTGCTTTATACGTTTTACTAC